TCTATCTATCTATCTATCTATCTATCTATCTATCTATCTATCTATCTTATATCTCTATCTTATATGTATATATACTGTATACATATAAAAAATAAATGGGGTGAATTTCTGGAACATATAAGCTTGAGAATGTTTCATTTCAATTTGAGTTTTAAGTCTTTATGATGGAAAAGTGTCTGCCACTCTATGAGTTACAAGTGTACAAATACAGGAATCCGTTGATAACAATTTAATAAAAAATCAATTTCAATCTCTACATCATCTGAAAAGATTTTTGTAATTGACTTATTTAAAGTGTGAATGTAACACTCCAAAATATAAAGCTATTCCCTTTCCAAACCACCCCAGTACTTTTTGTTTGTTGTCACCTCTGTCCATAGGCGTCCGCACGTCCCTCACCAGCGGACATCCGTTCAGATTCTGGGCTGTTCACCCGGCGGTATCGTAACGACCGACCCTGACCTGTTGGTGACTCTGGGGCTCCGCCTCGAGCTGGCGACACTAGACATGCCCCTCGACTTGCCTCTTCTTCCTGAGCTCCCTGAAGGCAGCCAGCGAGAGAGGATGAATTCAAACACTCTGGAAAACTTGTTATTTTTGTTTAACATTTAGGTGGATCAGCCTTTCACAGGCACTACAATTGCAAACAGTCATATAAATTAAAGTCACAGAGAGCTTCAATCACATTTACTGTATCAGTGATTGAATATTTCCGAAGAAGGAAACCTAAACACTTCATGATAAAATAATACTTCGATGTAGCACTTACATTAGAGAGAGAAAACAATGTGAGACCATTTGTAATATTAAGAGAAATAAGACACCCCGCTCTAAACCACATTAGCTGGATGTCAAAATGTTTGTTAGCTAATAGTTTAATCTGTTGTGTTGGCAAAGCATCCATGTTTCCATCCATTTTATGAACCGCTTATTCCCAAATGGGTCGTGGGAGGACTGGAGCCTATCCCATTTTCCAAAAAAATATCACTGCATTAGCACTTGTTAGATATCTCATTTTCAGCACATACTTTGTTAAGGCTTATCCTGAGTCTGTTACGGTTGAAGTCTGTGTCCTCCCAGGCTTCTCCTGACTCTCCAGCATGCTGGATGACCGCCTCACCGGGCGGTCGACTGGGTGGTGGAGGAGGAGCGTTCTCCTGATCGCTAAGGTGTTCGTCCTGCAGAACATCGTCCGTATTTTCCCTTTGCGGGTCTCCAGGAATCGGCGTCACAATGGCACTGCAGACCCCAAAAATATCCTCATAAATAAAATATTTCAGAAACTATTAAATGCTTCTCATTCTTCAGCTTTTTTTAAAATAAGAGGATGTTCACAACGTGCTTAATTTGGCAAAGACACAAAACCACACAAAAATGCAAAACCCAAAATAATTAGGATCAGAAATTAATCTAGTCTCTCGCTTAGTTCAGTTTCTCACCCTACGATGGCTGCAGTGGGTCGCGTGTTGTGCTGAGGTTGGGTGGAGGCAGTCGTCGACAACGTGACATCACCTCCCCCTTTCTCCCAATCAAAGGGCTCATTCTCAGTAATGATCCGCTCCTTCATGCTGTTCTCAAACACTGACATCAGCAGCTTGACCAAAGAAAAGAAAGAAAAATCTCAGTCACAATTGCTAATGTTGGTCCTGAACCAGGGACTTCTTGTCCTAGGTCTTGCATTATTTACCTGGTAATCTGGTTTGGTATAATAGTCCAGGGCCAGGACATGTTCCAGGAAGGTACTAAACTCGGAAGGCATGTGTTTGAGCAGCAACCGGTGGTCATAACGCTCTTTAATCTGACCAACTTGTTCCTAGAAAGACCAAAATAACCATTGAAAATTGATTAAATCTGAAAAGGATTAAGGTTTAAAAAACTTCTACCATCTCATAGAAGAAAAGGGACAGTTCCAAATAGACAAATAAACCACAATTACGAATAACTCTTTGTCTTGGGCATCTCTTGGGGAAAAATATTTGCAATTGAAACATGTAGTTGTTCTACCTTTGGCACAATGTGTACATGTCAGTTACTGGATAACTGTGAAGGACATATTTATCAAAACAGCTTGGGTTTGGATGTATACCCAACATGAACAATAAGCACGCCTAAATGTACGTCAGAGCTGGGCTACAGCTTGTCTAGGCCTGACAATGTTTAATTCTGCTGTTTTTTAAAATGTTTTATGAGGGATCATATTCTTAAGTATCGCCAAATTTATTACAGACACGGTCTTTCTGTATCCTGAATTGTGACTTTGTAAGAAGGGATGCTGCAGTTATAAAATCAAGATTTTGTTGGAGAGGAAAATGCTTTATGTTCCAGACTTTTTAAAATCATTTTCTTTTTTATTCATTTTTTATTCTGAAACGAACAAAGGTTCTAAGGTACAGCGATATGAGAAAACAAAAATATTCTGATAATCCAAAGTGAGGTTACTTGAAGTCCGGCCTTATGGATAGAGAAAAATCTAATCTACTTGTCGTGTCTGGGGGAATTTTTGTTTTTTTGTCCTGTCTCCATGTTGTCTTGTCACATCCTAGTTTATTTTGAAAGGTTCATCCCCTTGTGTCAGGCCACTGGCACTCCCCTGTGTGTCACATGTCTGCTTGTCTTCCTTGATCACCTATTGTGTACACCTGGGGTTCCCTTCCCTCATGTGTTTAAATAGTCCTTGTTTCCCTTGTCTTGCGCCAGTATGTTTTCGTCATTAGTCTTTGTATTCATGACCTTACTGAGCATTACCCCTGTCCTCGTACCTTGCCTTGCCTCGATCCTTGTATCCTACCTTAAGAGTGATTTTTTGTTCTTTTCCCCTAGTGGTATCTGACCCTAGTGGGTATTGTTTTGCTACTTTGTTTACATAGCCTTCGTTTTTCCTTGTGATTATATTTTGATACTGTTTTTGCCTCGTAAGAGGGATTTTGATTTCATACTTTGTTCATAGTCTTGTTTAATTAATTTGGTACTTTGTTTCCACTCCTTTTGAGTGCGTTTTGTGTTCAATAAAACCTTTTTGTACCACCTCTCTGTGCCTGAGTCCTGCCTCGAGTACCAGATCTGACACTACTTGCCACTTTTGAATAAATGCTTATTTTTGTGTTCTTAGATTGAAAGTAATTCCTTCCCTTACAAAAATGCTGTACACACTATGAATCCATTCATCATTTGTTCTTTTCCAATGTTGTTTCCTTCCAGTTCTCCTGTTAGATTGTGATGTTGCCTTCGGTTTCCCATCTTGATTTTACAATAGATGTATTTTCTTTAAGACACTGAAGACTGGTGTATATTTTTTAAATGATCTTCTTAAAAGGTTAATATTTGTAAGATTTTACAAATAGCTGTAGAATTTTGTTTCCAGATTCCTAATTTTGTTCAATGTTTTTCCTGACGTGGTCTCTCTCATTTGTAGATATTCTGTAGAAGTCCTGGTTCTGTAAACCAGATTTATCCTTGAGATCTCGGAAATTTCTAACCGTGCCTTTACTTAATGGTGTATAGTATGTTGTAAGCCCTAAGGAAGACCATTAATTGAATCTTTGGGCATATTGATTTGGTGTATTTGTAATTGTGGGTCATAAGAAAACCCTTTTTAAGATTTGAATGTCTTTTTCAAATTGAACTGTTTTACTGAAAACAAAGGTTTTCTATGTGACAGTATTATTTAGTCACAATTTCTAAAGTGTTTGGCCCTCATAGAAATTAAATAGAGAGCCATTTAAAGTAAAACATCTTTCTTTGGTTCTGTCAATCTATACACATACACATTTACTATGTAGGCAATTTCATGTCTAGTGAGTGTATGTATGTTTTTTGGGATTCGGAACCTAAATCCTGGTATAGTCCTGCATCAAAACCCCATGTACATTATCTGAGTATCAATTAGTTTTGAAGCATTTTGCTCAAAATACGTTTTTTCTTTCTTTTTTTCCTTTTTTTTTTTTACAAAGTCATTGTTAGTCAGTTCTTCTCTTAGCTATATCCCTCCATCTTTAAAAAAAATGAACAGGTATTATCTTTGGTCCTATATTAGTACTTTCCTTTTGGACAAAGCGGGTATCTCTGTTCATATTTTGGGCTGTTTGATTTCTAGCCAAAACCAAAAATATTCTTGTATTGCTTTTGTTATGTATCGTTTAAAAAACTAACATCTTTAAGACCTGTTGTAGTTGTGCCTTATGATTTAGTTCACATTCAGGTAAAACTGCCGGACCTTGTCTTTGATCTTCCGCCATGGCAGTTGCCCAACAGCAAACTCCACCAACATGTAAAACAATGACCAAAGGTCATCATGGCGACCCATTTCCTAGAAAAGCACCAGAAAAAACGTTGTTAGATTTAATCCTATCTATGCGTGCGATTTTTGATAACACATATAGTCCTTGAACGTAATTTCTGATTCGATTAACACTGTTATGTGTTGATATATCAAAATAAACATTGAGAGCTTTTTATTTAGTGGGTAAATCATTTCAAAAGAAGACCACTAGATGATATCTCTTACAAAGTATTAGTCACATCTCAACAGCAAAACACTATTCATGTTTTTTCATGTCATGATTTTAACAAGATGAGAGTAAAAAACATTTACATCTGTTATTCATTCCATTTTCTTTTGCTGCACTGTCCCATTTTGTGTTGATCAAAAGGGCAGCTAAATTGATTAGCCATTAAAAAGAGCACTAACCTTGTTTTTGTGGGCATTAACTGAAGCGTAGCGGACCGTTCCTCTGAAACCAGCAACAGTCCTGGGCTGCACATACAATAACGCAAAGATAGTCAGCGCTCACATTCACAAGCTTTGACATAAATAACTCAGGCCTGCAGCTCATGCTAGTATATCATGTACAAGCGCAACGGGTGTCTCTTGTGGTCGAAATAGTCTTACATTTCCAAAACTGTTTCACTAATTGATTTATGGAAAAATGGCTACTCTCCAACAACGTGTAACCCTTGTATGTTTGCCACATACACAATGCACTTCAGATCTGAACATGGAATGGTACTTTTACAGACAATAACAACCACTTATGAATACTTAGAATTTGAACTGTATGTATATATATACATATATATAAATGTGTGTGTGTGTGCATGTACAAATGTGTTTACATATGTGTACATTCAAAAGCAGTTGTAATTCAGTTGTCAGTGTGTTGTGTGTTTATACACATATATAATGTATTTACATATATAGATATACACATATATATGTATATACTCATCAACTATTTAAACATTTTATGACTGGTACTGTCCCGAGGAAATTAAACTGAATTTGTTATTCTTGCTTTAATCTTACATTTCCTGAATTATTTAATGTAAATAGAAAATTGTTAGTTATATATAGAAATATAGTAGTTATATAGTTATACAGTAATGCGTTTAGACATTGCCAGCACCTTTTTTGTTTAACTTTTTCAACTAATTCAGCTTTTACTTCAGTGGTCAGCTGATAATGGGGCCATTACCCCTTTATAGCTATAGAAACCACTCACATCCCTGGGAACTCATGGAGGTGATGGAGAAACGGATGGCATGCACTTCAAAATCATAAGTCCAAAGGAACTGTAAGAAAAACAAAAACAACACTGAAACATAAGAAGACTTAAATAAAACACAATTAACACTGGGTTGGAAAAATAACTACACAAATAAAAGCATTTCACAGAACATGAACAAATTGTAAAAAATAAAACACAAACAATAAATGACTGGCAATTAATGTGCTGTAAATCATATTAACTGTACAAAACGTTGGAGAACAAATATGTATGTTCAAATAAGCATGTACTCAGGGAAGTGAAGAGTTTTAACTGTTTAGAAAGGACAGCCTAATGCTGTGAAAACTAAGTAAGGCATGAAAGGTTCTGTTCACCAACTGGTTCAAATTTGATTATATATTAATCTGTTTTGATCGTATTAGTAAACTGATCACTGTATCACTTTACGGCATGAATATCTCAAAACTAGTGAGAAGTAAGTTTTATTGAGCCCGATGAGCGGGGATTCATCTGGAACAGGTAACAAGAATGTAGAATGTTTGAGGAGACCAGGTGATATATTCAAATGTTCATTCTCCTTTTTTATTTGAAAGTGACTTTGGATAAAAGCTGCCTGTAAATATGTAAAGGATAAATACATATGTAATTAATGCAAATTTGAAAACAAGATATCCTAGAATTGAATTGGAAAAAGCAGAATCTTAACAAAGACCTGTATGTCATATCAATTCCATAAAGATATATTGCTGTGCTGGATGTTGGGTTTACTTTTTGGCAACTTCTAATGTTTCAAATTTTTATTTTTGAAGCATTCTTCTAGTCTGTGCCTTGTATTTTTTTCCCCGATTCACCTGTGTCTTGTGTGTTTCCTATAGACTATGCCACAAACCATGGCAATGTGTAACAGTGTAACTTTCCAGAGGTAAACCTGAATGTGTTTTACTGGGTTGATACTGGTTTATACCATTGCCTTTAAATTAATCAAGGTGATGAAAATGAATACTTTTTTAAGCAAGAAAACTATTGACTTTAAGAAGACGATCCCGCAGAAGCTGCATGTTGGATCATAGTTGATACCCCTTGAAGGGAGAGATGGTGGAGAGATGAGATAGAGCAAATGAGGATAGACAGGAGGAAGGGACAGAACAGGCTGAACAGAGGGGGAGGGGTGTAACAAGAAATGGACAATTTCACACAGATTATTGGATCGAAGCTGCCACAGCTGCAGAACTGGAAGGAGAAGGGGACAATTTGGGTGGGTGGAAGGGAACTGAGAGAAACAAGCACCTTTAGGACTCTTGCCCAGTGACGCATGGTGAGTGCATTAAAAATTCATCTCATTGCTGCAACAGAAGCACTGACTGCAGCAGCGGAGGGAGGGGTGGTGGTGGGTGAAGAGCAGAGAAAGGGGGAGAAAAGAAGAGGGAAAGACAGGAGAGCTGAGAAAAAAGAAGGAGGAGGAGAAATTAAATTCAAATTTGGGTGCGAAATAAATGAAGGAATAAAAGCAGAGGTAGAGAGGAAGATGAGTAGCGCAGGATAAGGTAAATGAAAGTTGCTAACGTATTCAGATTTAAACATAGCTGAGAGTTTAGTCTGATTGAGAGACACAGAAATGAATAAGATTTGTGAAACAGAAAAGCGACAAACAGAAGCATCTTGGCTTAATCTGTCTGAAACTACAAACTTAAAACAGGCCTGTTATAGTACCTATAGTACCTTAGGCTTTTATATGTATATGTAAATGTCCTGTATTTAGGCGTAACTGATTTTGACCCTCTAATATTAAACTTCTGTCAACTTCTATAAAATGTGAAGAGATACGTGTATTGGTTTCAGTAAATTCCTAACAAACAGAATACACACAACTGATGAAACACAACACAATCTGCAGCAGTGCAGCAAACACACCCATTTGGCATCCCGTCAGATTATTTTTTTCAAGGCAGAGGACACAGGGTCTGTTTCTGATGAATATGATAATTCAAGTATCCGTGTGTCTGGTGAATCATTGAATTGGTTTCAAGTTACAAATAGATGTTTGATTTAATATTGCTACCTTGAGTTTGTTGTTTTGGTAATAATCACTATCAATGATATGAGTCAATATGAGTACACAATAATAGTACAGCACAGTACTTATCATTTTATTGTTTATTTTAATTGAACATCAGTGACTTTGGAAAACCAGTTAGGTCAATTATTAATGGCTTACAATGCCAAAATAATCAAGTAGCACAATGTAATATTAATTGTATTCTTTATGCACGGTGATAATACTTCATTTCAATCTCATAATTCTATATTATATGTTTGTAATATATATTATATATTTTCTGCCGGTAAAACTATTCACACATATCATTGACATTGGAGATATGTAGTGTCTGGCCTTGTGTTGCATTGATTTTGTGTTGTTTTTCAGCCTGCAGTCTAGTTTCTGTGAAACAGACCAACAGTTTCTTACCGGTCGGACCTCTCCTGTGGTGTTGGTGTACTGCCGTGCCAAACCAAAGTCCAGCATGTAACACTTTCTGTAGGTGGAGGGAAGTCGGCCCATCGCAAAGTTTGACTGCAAGGACAGATGACTTGTCATGAGAACAGTGTATAAATGATGAAAGGCAAAATTGGAAACATCTAGCTTCTTTATTTTATGACTTAGAAAATAATGACATTGAGCCTTCTTTCTCCAAAACACTTGGCTTTTTACCCCTCACATACTAAGGGCTATACACCCCACAGGCACACTTTGGTGGAAAAAAACCCTGAATACAGTCGAAGATATTCTATCCTGTTTTAGAAGACGAGTTGATAAAATGAGGATCATGAAGCATGGAATACGTGGAAATGTACTTTAGAATAAATTTCACAAACAAGGAGATACTTAATCTTTTGGCACATCAGAATCAGATTGTCATAAGTATCAGGATGTTAAAAAGAACGTGCATGAAAATGCCTCTTTTCCACAGAAAGATGCAGGCGGACTGGTAGGATATCGCTACTTTTGTGGAGGGGAAATGGCCAGAAGTTGTCCTCTGCAGGGTTATCGGTGGATGCGGTTAATTAAGAGGGGGTTTATTCTCGCCATATTATAAAGACATACACTATATTGCCAAAAGTATTTGCTCACCCATCCAAATTATCGGAATCAGGTGTTCCAATCACTTCCATGGCCACAGGTGTATAAATTCAAGCACCTAGGCATGCAGACTGTTTTTACAAACATTTGTGAAAGAATGGGTCGCTCTCAGGAGCTCAGTGAATTCCAGCGTGGAACTGTGATAGGATGCCACCTGTGCAACAAATCCAGTCGTGAAATTTCCTCGCTCCTAAATATTCCACAGTCAACTGTCAGCTGTATTATAAGTAAATGGAAGTGTTTGGGAACGACAGCAACTCAGCCACGAAGTGGTAGGCCACGTAAACTGACGGAGCGGGGTCAGCGGATGCTGACGCGCATAGTGCGAAGAGGTCGCCAACTTTCTGCAGAGTCAATCACTACAGACCTCCAAACTTCATGTGGCCTTCAGATTAGCTCAAGAACAGTGCGCAGAGAGCTTCATGGAATGGGTTTCCATGGTCGAGCAGCTGCATCCAAGCCATACATCACCAAGTGCAATGCAAAGCGTCGGATGCGGTGGTGTAAAGCACGCCGCCACTGGACTCTAGAGCAGTGGAGACGCGTTCTCTGGAGTGACGAATCGCGCTTCTCCATCTGGCAATCTGATGGACGGGTCTGGGTTTGGCGGTTGCCAGGAGAACGGTACTTGTCTGACTGCATTGTGCCAAGTGTAAAGTTTGGTGGAGGGGGGATTATGGTGTGGGGTTGTTTTTCAGGAGCTGGGCTTGGCCCCTTAGTTCCAGTGAAAGGAACTCTGAATGCTTCAGCATACCAAGACATTTTGGACAATTCCATGCTCCCAACTTTGTGGGAACAGTTTGGAGCTGGCCCCTTCCTCTTCCAACATGACTGTGCACCAGTGCACAAAGCAAGGTCCATAAAGACATGGATGACAGAGTCTGGTGTGGATGAACTTGACTGGCCTGCACAGAGTCCTGACCTCAACCCGATAGAACACCTTTGGGATGAATTAGAGCGGAGACTGAGAGCCAGGCCTTCTCGTCCAACATCAGTGTGCAACCTCACAAATGCGCTTCTGGAAGAATGGTCAAAAATTCCCATAAACACACTCCTAAACCTTGTGGACAGCCTTCCCAGAAGAGTTGAAGCTGTTCTAGCTGCAAAGGGTGGACCGACGTCATATTGAACCCTATGGATTAGGAACGGGATGTCACTTAAGCTCATATGTGAGTCAAGGCAGGTGAGCAAATACTTTTGGCAATATAGTGTATATAAAGACTTTAATCTCGTGATTAATTCCCCAAAAAGTTTTTTTCAAAATGTGGCCCATATTACTCTGTTGTAATTATTAAACTTCTTGCTCAAATATTATTAATATCTCTTTTTTTAAATGCTAATCCTGTCATTGATCGATGAATGGAAGGATGCTTGACTGATCACAGAACAACTAAGTCACAAAAATTACCAGTATAATTTGTCACAATAAGAATATCATATCCACACAGAACCAATCAGGTCAAAGACAAAATGTTACTGAGCTCTGTAAAACGTTATCCATCCTTGACAACACTCATACAGAAATACAAACTACAGAGCAGCATTTTAGCAGAACCTTTGGACTCTTTTTCTTATTTGTTAACGTACCGGTTTTATATCACGGTGCAAGAAACCCACTGAGTGGATGGCTTCAATAGACTCTAGGATCTGTTTCCCAAGTCGTAGGGTGGTGCTCATGGTGAATGTTCCTCTTGGCTGACTCCTCCGTAGGTCGGCCAGGTTTCGACCCTGTAACACCACATAGACCACAATATCCATCCATTTTCTACACCATCTCAGCTGTTATAGGGTGATAGGCAGAGGAAACAACATAATTACCGAAAACAAGTAAACATGCCACCATCACCAGAATGAAAGTTTTTGTAAAGTGGGGCAAAATGTTTGTGAAAATGTAATTATTTTCATCTCATCCCCTCCCGCCCTTCAAAGCTGGTTCTATTTGGATACATTTATAACATACTAAAACATGCAATTTACGCTTACTTTCTGGTTACTGTATAGGTGTTCTGCAAAAAAAATCCAATATAAAACTGCTATTTCAACGCCTGTGACTGATTGGCCAAATCAAATGTCTTTGAACAGAAGGGAGGACCAGTGCATTATACCATGCAGTTGAAACGTGAGGGTATGGTGTTTTCCCAATAGTGCCTACTTAGCCCTACATGGCTCGGCCTGGCAAAAGCTCTACATGGTTTAGGTGGTTTTTAATTACCCATTTAATGACCCAACTAAACCTTGTCATTGGACTCGTGTTGGCTTGTGTATGAAACATTTACAATGTGTATGATGACAGAGATAATTAAATCAGACAGCTCGTTGTCCCATTTTTAAAATGCCGTCTAATATTTTGCCGACTAAGTGGGAACCCTAACTAAGTAGGAAGCCCGACTAAGTAGGTTCTGGAGTTTTAACCGTTTAGAGGGGTCAATTCCTAGTGGAAATGCAAAAATAGTACCATGCCGCGCTGAGATACTAGCTTAAAAAGGCCATTAGAGACATCTGCTTTTCAGACAAGCAAGGAGTAAATTAAAATTCTGATGACATTAAAGAATAATTCAGGTATATAAAAAAACTGACATATTTTCCAATTAAACTGCTGTTATTCCTGTGAGTCCCAACCTTTTTCTCAGTGCCAAAAATTCTTTAGAAATCAATGTGTTGAATTGTGAACAAATAAAAAGCATTCAACGTGTTTGGGAAAAAGCCTTACGTCTGTCTGTAATCACCCACATTTTGACTCACCTGAAGCTGCATCACCACATAGTTGAATTTGTCATTTCTCCCACAGCCTATAAACTTGCAAACATGATTTTTACCTAGACAACACAGAGAGAATTAAGGTTATTTCAAACTCTGTTAAAGCAGAAACGCTTCTACAAAACACAATAAATGTTTAATAAAAGCATCCTGAGTATCAAATTCATAATATTGAATGTTTGATTGAGACGGGTTCTGCCTTTTTCTATGTTTCGGTTACAGGTAAGTTTTACTTTACTTTGTTAGTTGTGCTAATGATCTGCTCAACAGAAAGCAAAAGACAGTAAAAGAAAGTAGTCAATGAACGTGTGCGCTAAGCATTTAAACACCCAGGACTTTTCAGAGATGCATAGGTTGAGACCATACAGTTAACTTTGACATTAAATACTGTATATCATTTAATTCAATGTAAGCTCCAATGACATCAGAAACAGACTGGTTATGCCACACTCAGAGGTCTGCCCCTTCATACTGGTACAGCCAACCTACCCCTCCCTGTTTATTCTCGCTTTCTCCCCGTAAGAAACTACATCGAGCCCCCACGGCTTGTTCAGGCTAGCTTAGTTGACAGCTGTATTGTGGGTGGTTGACTCCTGTGCACTCAGGCTATTGTGTCAGGAAGCTTGCTAGGAAAATTAACAGGGTACAGCTAAAGTGTAGCGACGACCAAACCCTGGCAAATGGAGTTAGCTTAGAATTGACTCAGGTATGTGTTGCATATATATTCAGCTATGGCTCCGACCATTACCCGCTCCAAAGGGTTAAAACCAAAAGTCAGAGACGCAGGCTACCGCCCACACCTGGGGTCATGTTGGGTTTTCCATCTAAGGCAGGGACCCTCGTGGCATGCATGAGTGCTAAACACGCCCAAGCCTCGCCAGCTAAACCGCATGTTTGCAGTGCACCTCCACGCCCCAAAAAATTTGGAAAGGAGGTTGAGAGTGGCAGTGGCCAAAAGCCGGGACCCTTTCCTTTCTGGAGCCTCTGATTCGGCTTCATGCAACGTCCAGCCGCGATCCACCGCAAACTGGGTGGATATGAAGGACAAAGTGTCCCTCACAATGCCCACGTGAAATCTGCGGGAGTAGAGACTTGAGACAGAGGAAGTGGAAGGTGATGCCAGCTTTGTCCTCTGTCTCGAGTGATGGGCTAGCACTCAAGAGCAGCTAGGGCTGAAGTTGCCTCTTCAGCAAATAACAATCTGTATGATGTCTGCAGAATGGTCACTGAAAACCTGAAAAACTGATCTCATCCTGCGCTCCTTGAAGAGAGCAGTCCAGGGCTAGTGGCCGTGTTATGGTACTGTCAGTTGCAGGGGTGAGGTTCATGTTGGTAAACCTCTTAATTACCTCCTCTTTGGTAGGCTAGCTTGGTTAACTGCTTAATTGTTCTCAGGTATCCAGTAAAGAGGTAAAGAAGCAAGCATTTCTGAGGTTTGCATACCGTGGCACAGCTATGAGTTTTAGAGGATGCCATTCGGGCTGTCACTGCTCCCAAGAATGTTCAGAAAGTGCATGGGAGCAGCTCTACTCTCCCCGGAAAACAGTGTCATCAGAATATTTGCATACATACTATGTAGCATGTTCCCAATAGGGTGAGAAGGCATTTAGGCATTCAGGTATGGTGGTCACCTTATCAATCTCTGGTCAGACAAAAATGTTGGATAGAGCTGTCTTATTCCCGTGCACTGTATTTGGAACTTGGAATAAACTCCTTCAGATATCGTATCATGGTGTCAGAAGGGGGAATTCTTTCTTCACTCAATGCATTGCGCAATTTCAACCGGGAAAGTTATGGCGATCCACCCGTGTCTGCGCCTCCTCTGTCTCATGGCTTTCCGTTGTACAGCTCGGACTTCTGATGATGAGAGATTTTTAATGGTCAATGTCTTGTTGAGACTGTGACCCTGCCGTCACCTCAGTTGCAGAGTGACGATCTCACCAACATGAATCGCAGCGATTCGGCCATGAGACAGTCAGTGACGTTTGTCACTCAATGCTATTGCTGGAGGCGGTAACATTGAGAGTCACTCTGACGGCAGATGCTTTCTTAAAAGGATGGGGTGCGACCATGGCGGGTAGATTAATAAATGGCATCACAGAGGATGGCTTGGGCTCACATAAACATACTGGAACTCCAAGCAGTATTTCTAGCCCAGAGACATTTTTTCCATTAAATAAAAGGACGCCACGTCCTTGTGGAGACAGACATTTCTAGAGTAGTAGCCTATGTCAACGGTCAACCATTCCCTTCGGCAGCACAGGCTGGCCAAAGCACAAGGCTTCTGTCTGTACGAGCGACTCGCATGCAAAGGACTCTAAACAGGTAAGCAGATTTGTTGTCCAGGGGAACCCATTGGTGGTGGTGAAAGAAAACTTAATCTGCAAGAAGTGGAACAAATGTAGCAGAGCTACGAGTCGCTGTAGATCTTTGCCTCGTGGGAAAAGGCCTATTGTTCGCTGTTCGTGCGTAGACGCGGCTTTGGAAGTGGACGCCCTGGTTCATTTATGGCCAAAGGTCCTGTTTTATGCTTTCCCCCTTCTCAGCCTAATCACAGGCCCTTGGTGGCCATCCAAGCACTATCTGGGAGAGATAATCCAGATGCTGTTAGGGGAACCATGGCCCCGTCCCATTCGCAGATACTTTCTGTCTCAGGCACAGGGAGATGTTAACCACCTCTATCGAGATCACATGGTGGTTGGTTTTTGGCCCCGGAGAGGTAGAGGCCACTGGCCTTCAACCACAGGTCATTGACACTATTCAGAACGCAACAGCATCCTTGATGCTGTTACTTTGTAGTAGTAATTGGTGTGCACAAAAGCAGTCCATATCTTTTTGATGCACAGTCGTGGACGTGCTCTGTTTTCTGCGGAATTTACTGGAAAAAGGGAAAGCCTTTTTCACAATTTGGGTTTATCTAGCAGCTATTCCAGCTTGTCGTCTGGGGTTTAGGGACAACCCTGTGGGACAGGACCAACTGATATGTCGTTTCATAAGGGGTGCAGGATGTAAATTCCATGTCTACAGACCATTGTGGGATCTATCAGTGGTCTTTGATGCCATTGAACCACATTCGTTTGAGCCCACTAAGGCAGTGGGAATGAAGTTTATTTCACTTAAGGCAGCACAGCTTTTGGCTTTTACTACAGCCAAGCGAGTGAGTGATTTTCATGCCTTTTCAATTCACTCCTTGTGTTTGCAATGCACCCTGGGTTTCATTAAGGTGTGTTTGCAGCCCTATCCGGCTTTTGCGTCTGTAGTCATCATACAGAAGCTCCTCAGTGGAGCACTTACTGTTTCACCCTCCTCCATTTCCGTTGATGGAGGAGCAGATGCTAAACACTTTGTGTCTGGTGCAATCCCTAAAGGTTTATGTGGACAGAATAACTAGCATCAGGAAACAGCTGTTTGTGTCTTGGATCACTTATTATAAGGGAAAGCCAGCGTCCGGCCAGAGCTTATCTCACTGGTGTAGGTGTAGAGGCACTCATCCCCAGTGGGGGTGCTGAGCTCATTCAACTAGGGTAATGGACACATAATGGGAACTTTTATAAGGTGGATGTGTCTAAGCCATCCCTGGCTGCTAGTAGAGGGAAAATCTGGTCCTACTTGAGGCCCTTCCCTGATACTGCTGCTCACAGCTTCTGAGATCCTGTAGTTCAGGAGTGGTCCGAATCACCCATAGTGAAACACCGAGCCAAGTTAGAAAATGAACTTTGATAACAGAGTGACTTGTTTCACCAACACATCCCTCCTTGCATAGGCACTGAAATTTGTCTAGAATGAGCAGGGAGAAGTAGGTTGGCTGCATCAATATGAAAGGACGGGGCCCTGAGCGCAGTGCAACCAGCTTATCACTGACAGAGGTGATGCCATTGGAGCTTCCCTAATTGGTCAAGGAGATTCCCCAAAGTGAAAAAAGTAACCCCACATTAGACTTGATCAGTATGTTTTGGCAGGTCACGATTTATTATCAGAACTATCAGAATGATTGGATGAAAACTGGGAAAACCATAAGTGAAAAGAATTTTAAAAGCCACTGGTTTTCAAATGGTTACTTTTAATAAATATTTTTGTCCAGTCGGCATCATTAACAGTGCTTGATGGAAATGGAAACCAAAAAGCTATAGCATATTTAGTCACATGACCGTAAATTAATCATGTGTGGCAGAAATGTTATTTTCAGAAATAATCAGGAGACAAAACCTTTAAGTCTGACTAGGTGGAGTAGCAACTGTAAGACTACCAACTGTGTTTGTTCAGCAGCTCAAAACTAAGTACCTAAGTGGCTAAGTTGAAGTAGCTCCAAATATTTTCCAACCAACCATTCATGTATACTAATCATGTGCCTGACATGATGGACATATGTGACACAATCACTGCTTCCGCTTAACATTGACATAATGCTACTATACAAAATCTATTACTGTTCAACTTAGCATTAAATTCAGCGTATGAGTGTTGGGTATTTGTTTTCATTATTGGCACCAGTAATGTGTATAAGAATCAGAACCATGTCTAACTGTAATATTTGAACTTAAGTGGACTTACCTGGGCAAGACAAATTGGCAAAGAGTGAATAAATCGTGATATCTGATAATTTAAAAGAGAAATGGTGTCTTTCTGAATGTTAAACCCGATAGCTCATGTTTAACCCCTTCAGCATCCTGCTCAACCTTTTGGTAGAGAGAGATTATACCTTGTCATAGGTTATACTAGAGGAAATGCACTTACAAGCTCTAAAATTAAGTTTCCCACTTTTAACATTAACTACTGCCAGATCTCACTGTGAAAAGAACATTGATTGTGGTTCTCCCCAGTTGCTCCCCAGAAATAAAAAAAATGCAAAGAAATTTGATCCCACTCTTTATTAAGTGTAGATATTAAGGGGTAGGGTTAAATGTGAGAAAGAGTGATATTTGTTGTAGCTCTCACCCTGCAGCTTCTTAAGTACAGCCACCTCCATCTTTAGCACCTGCTTGGGCTGCTGGGCCGACTCTACCTTCAGTGCCACATTCTCCCTTGTCAGCAGGTCCAAGGCCTCATAGATCTCTCCGAACCCACCCCCACCAATCTTCTTCAGCTAAGACATAAGATGCAAGACAGAGTGTTCGAGATGACCGCATTTTTCTCAGTCAGATGATTGACATCAGGGAATAACACAAAGATCACACAGAACCTCTCAATGCATGTTTTCATCTTATTTGTCTGGTTGCCCAAAATAAAATAAATTACTTGGTTTTATTTAGGGCGGCTGGTGGTTGTTTCCATCTAAAGAAAACATGAACAACCAAGGGGTTTCATTCATTTTTAGTGATCTTTTTCTGTCATTCTGATGAAAAGAAACATCTAAGACATGATATTAAAAAAATTACTGATTAAACATTATATGATGCTTAATTCCAATATTCCATCTTTTTTTTTTCCCTTACTTTTTCCTTATATTTACATCTCCTCATCCTTTAGCCTTTACCCAGCCTTTGAGTTTGTGATGTGTTTGATTTCATCAGTTCGGTGAGGACAGCAGCATGAACCGCGATGAGCAAGCAACCTACACAGTACACTATGCGACCAGACTGGCAAAACAGGAACTGCAGTTTCCTGACTCACCACTTTCCATCGGTCTTTGACCATGCAGTTTGGCGGCAGGATGTCAGCCTGCTCAGAAGTCCCGTTCATGTTGGCGTTCTCCTGAAGGCCAGGGACTAGGCAATGCATCTGCCAGCTAGACAGAACACGAGCAGCTCCCGACTTAAAAGAGCCATTTATCTGTGAGAAGGAGAGAGGAGGTTAGGTGGGGTTGCAAGAGTGTAGAGACCGAAAATGCAAAACAGAGTAGTTCATCATCATGATAGTGGGAGACTGAAGGTCAAACTACAGTCCAAAGCTGGGCAGTCACAGTAGTCCAATATAACAACAGGCATTGAAAATGGCCGACCGCTATCAAAAGCCATACTTCAGCTAGATCAGGCTACAGGATGGAGAGGGTAAGAGGCAGGGGAGGGGTTACAGTTGCAGTTGGCGTTAAGGTGGGGGGAAGGGTGTGTGATGGTATTTGCAGTATCCGGAGCAAATATCATATTTGCAGAGGAAGCAGCTGGATGCTCAGTCAGCATCTTGATTGCAATTGCAGGTTTAATGCTGCAATGGCTCGAAAGCCATTCACTTGAGTGGATTATTGGAGATCAGAATAAAATTGGTATTAGTCCAATGTATGAAATAACTTATATGAGCTTGCCACATGGACATCCCTCAATATGATCCCATCAAAGTTTAAAATAGCCTGCAATTCAGAGGAATATGCCATGTGGTACTTCTTTACATACAATTTCCACCTAAAGCCCATTAACTTGACATAAAACTTTCCCTAGAAACAGGGAATGCACCTAGTCTACATCTGCATCCATTAAAACAAGCTAAACTACAATTATAAGTTTTTACTTATAATTAAATACCAGTAATTTTTTAGGTTATAAGCTGTACTCCATAAAAATAAATCCCCAAAGGCAGGAAGTTGCTGACATCATTAAAGAAAGAGACGATGACAAATTATTTGACGTGATCTTCTTTAATTTATGAGCTTTGGAGATGTATTTTCTTCCATGTTCCAGCATGAACTATCCCTTTTTTCCCCGCTTACATAATAAGCATGAGGTGGGTATGGTATCAATATGCATATATTAATGTCAGCAAAAGAGGGGAGCAAGTTTTAACCACAACTGATTAGATTTTGTTTTCAATAATCCAATCGAAAAATAATTAAAAACAATGTTCAAGTAAAGGTCTAATATTAAACCTAAATACTCCCAGAATAGATTTGTATTGTTGTTAATCTTCTGAAAATACAATTTTTGCTTGTAAAGGATAGGAACACATTTGCAAAAATACCTAAACTACTGAAGCAATGCAATTTTATTTCATTTAGGCATAATGGCTTGTTTCATCAAAGGAGGCAACCACGAAGTTCTGTCCAAAAACAGAAATTCAGCTTGTCATGTATATCCCCGGACACGCCACAGCTGTGTACTGTTCCCAACCATCTCCAGTAATAAAGTGGTTAGACTAAAACCTCTGGCTATGTGCTGGGTGAGTTTCATTGAAAGCTTAGAGGAGTTTTATGATAGGTGTTGGAGAATGACAAATCCAACAGTGTGGGGTGAGCTATGCCTAGGAAGATTATCTCATGGGCAAACAAGGTCCTTAAAATCCTCACAAGTTGGCTTTGTTGAAATACATGAATGGTCTACAATTTACAATTGACCTGACCATATAGGGGTGGGCAACTCCAGGCCTCGAGGGCCGCGGTCTTGCATGTTTTAGAGGTTTCCCTGCCTCCACACACCTGATTCACATCAACACAGCATCAACTGTCCTTTGCAGATCTTAACAATCTTTAGACGAGATCCATTTTATGTGAGTGAAGTGTAGAGGCAGGGAAAACCCGCGAGACGTGGCCAAAAAGGCCCGGGCTGTTCAAAACTTAATCATTTCACTCACACTGACATAATATCAATCACCTCACAGCCGCAGTCTAAAACTCCTTTCTCTTGCAACCACTTTAGTATTCACCAGTGTGTCGAACTGAACTCTGGGATTTACTCTTCTTAGATACAACACATCTGCCATGAATGATTATTAGCTTTTGGTGAATTTGTGGGGGGAATCTTAAGTTCAAAGTGATGCATGTCAGTCCCCAAACCATGCTGTTCCGCATGCAATGCCACGGGCCGTCATCGGTGCATGCAGAGCTCAGGCGGACTGCACATAACAATGGGGTGTCCGCTGTATTTTCAGTGAGACCAGCCCCGGTAGAGAACTGGACAGACTGCAAAGTAAGGCAGGAGGCTTCTCTGCACCTTCAGTGATACAGCTCAGTTTGACAGCAGCATGATCGTCATCATCGTCGTCGTCGTCGACTTGAATAGGGCAGTTACAGGGAGCTGAGAGTCACTGTAACACTGGAGATGTAGTGATACCTGCAGCAAACCTCAACGCACTGCTGAGACACCAGTCCCAGGATAGGGTGGGACCACACAGTTTCCCTGAGGACACGGCACCAGTCTTACACACAAGGGCCTCACAGGCCAATGAGAACTGCTATAATTAAATAGTTACTTAAATTTGGAATTAAATAGTGTACTATTTTATTACAATAAAACAGTTAATCTATATTTCAGCAATGTTCTGATGCAGGTTTTGAATGTATGCTGATAGATTACTCTTATAATACATTAAAACTGTCTAGATATAAAGCGTACTTGAAAGTTTTAATTTAATCATAAAGCATTATAATTCCTTTTAGTATAATTAAGGAAGTACTGTCATATCCGCAAGTACAAATATCCATTAACTGCAAGATTAAAACAAGCACAATAGCAGTAGCATGTCTTAAATAATATATAAATTAAGCCTTATTTATTCCTTATGTGGATGGGTCAGCATTTTGCATCTCTCTATTGTTTTAGTGTATAAAAGCAGAGGAAACTCTGTGGTCCATCAGAAAACCTTTGTAGTTTGTGACAGGGTCTCAGCAGTAGATTAGAGAGAAACATCCTCAGCCACTGTTCTATCAAACCTCACCTTCTTCTGCTCTTCTTATACATAAATTACAAGTTTATTACTGAGTGGGAGGGGAAGGGGTGCTCTGCCAGTAGCTGGATTTGCATCATTCCAGATTTGATCTGATGAAGTCAGTCAGAGCTCACCATAGTTCTGAGCTCCTGGAAAACCTGACGGCTTACAACAAATCCTGACCGAGACAAAATCCTTCCTTTTCCTTTGTTAGCCTACAAGCCAAAACAGAGGGCACAATTAACCAGCAGTGGAAGAAGAGAAGGGCAGCGACCACTGACCGCTGCAGTTCTGCTGTCCTGAAATCACCAAAGGCGTGGAACATGGAGGAACAGCACTTTATGCACCATATTCATACCTTTAGAGCCTCATTCATCAAACACAATGTACAGTAATCATCAAACAAGAAGAAAACTCGATTCCATGTGATGTAAAACTAATCAAAACGCTTAAATAAACCTTTTGGTCACTGAAACAACTGAGCTTAATAAAAAAAAAATTATATTCCTGACACATTTTTACTAATTATACTCTGTCATAGGATATATTAGGGGAAGTGAAATTAGCTAAACTTGCTATAAAATTATATTTAGATGTTATTCCTAAATCAAATATTTCTTTTTTGAAATGTCACACTCTTACTGTAAATTGTCATCCCAACTCTCTGTATAGATAGGAATGATTCTGGTTGATATTGTTTGAAAGAAATAAAAACAATTAAAATAAATATTTTCCTGTCCTTTTTCTAAGTGTAGATTTCAAAGGTGTAAGAATATGTATTATTCAACAGGGGGAATTCTTGTAATTAGCATATATATTAAAGTTGTCATGATCTGTTTTGGCTATTTATGCGTTAGATTTAAATATTGGTACATTATTCTACATTCTTGTGCCATTTGTGATTAACATCTTTAAATTGAGCTCTCAGAAATAAACTTATTATTTAACGTGAATTTAGAAAAAATTAACAAAATAACGAATATCTAATGCATGTAGTTTAAATATTATTAGACTAAATTGATGGTTCTATTTATAGGTATCATAAAGAGAGATTAATAGGGCTATTGACCACAGTTATACATACACTGCTTCCTGAATATCAAATCTACCATTTCATATCTATTTACTTTAATAGTTAAGATTTTACAAGTTATTTGTTGAACCCAGAAATTATTTGGACAAGATGCTGTGAAAATATCTGACGTTGCATGTCAGATTTTTGGCTTCAGACACTTAAGCAATTGAGATATGATTTGAGGTCAAGTGGTGAAAGTAGTAAGTTTGTGATTGCATAAGAGCCAAGTTTTGCATGACAGCTAGAGTTTCATGAAAACAATATCAGTTATTTTCCACCTTAAAGCATATGTGATTTAAGAAACAGGTCTGAGTCGAATCGACACTCTGAGGCGCGAGGAACGGTCTACTCACTCGAAATATTTCAACCACATTAGCAATACTATGATTAATGTGACATCAAATGGTAAAACCAAAGTGACGGCAGAGAATTATATATTTTTAATCGGCATGAATACCGATCAGATTAGGGTTTCCCTGAGTGGACACAGCAGAATTATGAGCAGAGCTGAAATCAGGTGTGGGCAACACAAAGGCCTCCAGGGCCACTGTCCCTGCTTCCGCACTCCTGATTTAAATCAACACAACATAAGTGGCTCCTAAGAATGTTTAGAAGAGACCCATTTAATCTGATCAGGTGTGTTGAAGCAGGGAAACCTCTAGAACCTGTAGAAATGTGGCCCTCAAGGCCCATGACTCTGGCCTAAAGAGTCATGTGAAACTTCATGAGACACTTACATATAAATGCATAATATTGCAACAAAATGGCAATTATAAGAGTGGATACTTAATTGGACTGTTACATATGCCTTTTTAACATGGTTATGTTGTATTCGCTAAATTGGATTGTAGCATGTTAGTCAGATTTGCTATTTCATTGACAATGCAATGACAAGTAAAAAGATCAAAATCTTGTAATTTTCTAATAATGACAGCGGCAATTTTAGGAAAAAACTTTTTTTAAAAATAAATTATTGATCCTTTGCAAAAACTGGTAAAAACGGTTAATCCAGAAAAAAAGACCAAGGGGGAATATTTTCTTGATGAAATTAATTTAACATGTATGTTTAATAAGCATATAGTATAATATATGATAATAATTTAATTTTAAGTGACAGCCAAGCAAAACAAACAAATATGGGAAATCCTATAATATCTATACCTTTTCAAAACGTTTAATTTGGATCTAATAAAATCTAATTAAGTGTCGAAATGAATTCATAAACGGCTGAATGAGAGCTTGTATAACATACTTTCGCGATAGTTCAAGTTTAAACCCACCAGCATCCTTAGCATCCTCTGCATCACTCTTATTGAATTGTTCCTCTGCAATGCACAGTCATGTTTCCTTTGTGCGCATGCGCTACATCATATCCTGCTAATCAATCAATACGGCCCGGACTGACCCAAGTTGTGAAATGAGGATAATTTATCTAACACAACCTGCACATAAGTCTTTAAAAAAAAAAACATAGCTGCCATTGTCAAACCCACGCGTCTTAGAGGGATTGATAAATTCACCTTCACTGAAATGCATCGCTGCGGTACACGCGCAAACACACACCCACTGAGACGCACACCGTAGTCCGAGACAGGGAGGTGCGGATCAGGCCTACCTGGCGCACCGTCCGTTCCTTTTCCGCCTTTTGGGAATCTTCATCTGGGATTTTACTTTGGCACAATACGTTCTGGTCCAGAAAACCCACTGTACCTCTGAAGGTGGGGGGGGCCGGGGTTCAGGCCTCACACTCCCCACGGGACTAAATAACCATTTAATTCCCTTCCTCTGTCAAAAAAAACCCGGACCGGATTGGCCCCTTTAAGCCAGCGGCTCCGTTCCACGCAGACCAGCCGCGCGTCGGGGATGCATCGAGCCCAGAAATAGAGGAAATAAAAATAAAATTGTTCTGAATCCTCCCTCAGAGCTCAGGAAACACTCCTTTCAGGCTCTCTGCTGCACAGGTCCTCCTCCAGTTCCCCGATGCTGCATTTGAGCAGGAGGAGGGAAGGGGAGGGAGGGATGGAGGAGGAGAGAGAGAGAGAGAGGGGGGGGGGGGGGTTATGGACCGATCCAGCCTCTCTCCTGTTGTATAGCCTCCCGGTTTCGTGGAACTGATGATGAAGCCGAATGTAGAGGCCCAGGTGAGGGTGACCCGGGTTTGCTGTCAGGGGCTGTCTGGGAACGAGAGGATCTCCTGATCCAGCCTATTTGTCCGCACTGCAGCTCTGCCTCTTCCAGCGTCAGATGATCGTCACAAACCGCAGCCATAACATCCGGTGTGAGCTTTCATAATAAGTCCCCCTTCCCATTTACGCCTTAATAACGCAGCCTGTCCTATGAAGACGTTTTTTATTTAATGTCGCATTTATGTTGTCATGCAAAAATGATGATGATAATGATGAACTGATAATGAAATGAAGCAAGGCCGTGAAACAGCAAAATGTGGAAAATACCATTATCTGTCAAGCACGCATTAAATCTTTATTTTCCATAATTGAAATCCGTCATCTTTAAATTGTATGCTCTCCCTTATCATGTCTCTGGCCCGGATATCATCATTTGAATAAAACTGAATGTTAGCTGATGACTGAGTGGTTTTATTTGGTCTGCAAAAGGTTTTATAAGAACTATTAAAGAGATCAATTGACTGCCATGGTGCCCAACATGCCCCCAAAAAATTTTTTTCAAGGGAGGTTTTGTACTCATAAATACAATCTGATCCCAAATACCTACAAAGACACAAAACTAACAGAAAAGAAATGAAAAAACAAAACAGCAACAGCAACAGTGACGAAACCAGCAGCAAGAACACGGAACAAACGTGTTGACACTAATGCACAAAGCTACCGATAAGCACAGCTAATATATTATGAGCTCTAATCCAGCAGCACAAAATGTGATGTAGGTCTTACATGAATTTGCAGCAATTGGCCACCCTTTCCAGGGACTAGGAGCAAGCAGAGAGGTCTACAAGACCCAGGCACAGAAGTCCGGCGCCCCACCACAGGGATGCCACACATCCAACCAGAGGAAAGCAGAGGAGGCCCGGGACAGAGCCCAGCAGCCATGGAAATCAGGATCCACAATCAACCAGCTCCGCAAACCCCAAGCCACCCAAGTCTATAGGCCAGGTGTGGGACTTAAAGCCCAGAGTCCCTTAACACCCTCAGCAGAGGGCCTGCCCAATACCCAAGAGGAAGTGGTTACCCCAATCAGCCAACCAGAGGGGCACGCATCCCAAAGTGCCCCGGAGGCCAATCTGGAAGCAGACAAGTGAGCAGCAAGAGGAGGTTGAACCCCCCCCCCCCCACCTTCTGCTCCCAAAAAAAAAAAAAAACCCAGCCAGAGCAAACCTGGTCCAAGACCTAGCCCCATCCACAAATCATCCATGCACATTCACTCACTCATTTTTTAATCATTCACTCGCTCAGTCACTCACATGGACGAGGGCAGAAAGAAAATGTCCTAATAAGAAAAAAAAGATTTAATGTAATAAGAGAAAAAAACTAATACAATAAAGAAAGAAAGAGAGAAAATAAACAGAGACGTATAAAACAAATGCATTTAAAAAACGGACCAGTAGTAGGTACACAGTAGGTGGACTACTGACCAGTTAATGGAGTAATCAGAAAGTGCTAAGAACTTATTGGGGGGCCACTGCCAGTGTGATTACAACGTTTCTGTAATTGTGTAAATGAGAGATACCCGTGGATTGTGGAGGATAAGTAATATGGAATTAGCGTAAAGGCTGATCTTGTGTTCAACATTTTAGGATTGAATGCTTTTGTTATCTGTGCTTTGTCTGATGGCAGCTGCTAGAGGTTAAAAAAAAACATGCAAAGAGTGAAGGAGTTGGAGAAGTTTGATCTTTAGTCTTAACACATGCATTGGAAGAACTATACATTATTCTCATCCAGATGATAATATAGTTTCTGAAGCCAAATAATATGAGCAGTGTTCATGTTTGAGGGCAGTTTGTTTTCTCCTTAATATCTGATATAGAATGTAGCTGCTAGTATGGTCTAAACTTCCTCGTAGAACTCAGCTGGGAAATCATCTGGTCTTCGGGCTTTATTATCTGACAAATTTGTTCGCTTTGTATAAATTTATGAAAACATTGTTGATTACATCAGTATCATGGGTGACAGACCCTGATAATACTATGATAGAAGCGATAGTTGCTTTCTCTTTATATTTATTTTAACTGATTAGGCATTTCCTAGATTGGTTGCCATGTTAGAAGTTTTCCAATCGTCTTTTGTACTGTGTTCCTTACCACCACCACCTTCCACAAATCATGACAAGCAGATTTTCATGGTCTTCGTCCCTGAGACTGGAAGGGATGAAACTTAAAATTACAAGGATGGTGTTTAAGTTTGCACTCTTGAACCCCTTTAGTCACACATATGCTAACTTTCTACATATTCATATATAGCATTACACACATGAGCCGTAAGACTCATGGTGTTTGGTTACGACCACTTAAAAAGGTTCTACTGATGGCTTCTCCTGATTTAAAAACGTTATATTATGTGATAATATATATATGTTATTTTATCAACATTGCACCGTTTACTATTTTCACATGAATATGACATGAAGAACTGCTTGCTACTGGCAATTACAATGAAGAACAGCTTCACTAAATCATTGCATGATTCAAATTTGTGTTCATAAGTAGAATTATATCAAAAAGGGGTAGAGAAAAATCTCCTACCTGGTTGTATAGCAGCTCATTGCAGAGTCACTCCCAGTTTGGGAGTTTTGTTGACCTGGCTACTGCTCATTGTTGGGACATGATTCATGTATAACACTCCCAAGTCGATTTTACTGCCGTAATAATTATGTCAAAAGGCCTTTTATTTTGATCACATCTGATTTCCATTGGTCACTGAGCTCTCTCAGAAAAGCCGGAACCAGGTATCACTGCCTCTCATAAATCTGTCGGTTGAGTATGTTGCATTCACGTTTAATAATAAAATTTAACGTGAACAAGTGAATAGACGCTGACTTATGTCAGAGGTAACTGCCCGATGTGATTGTCAAACCAAGAAGATATGGGTAAAAATCCACCTGTGGGAGTTATTTTTTTTGTAACTGAGTTCCAGCAGGTGCTCTCTTGCTCCAGCGCTGTAGTTTACCTTAAATTTGAACAAATTACAATTTGTAAACTCATAATTTCTCTGGTCTGTTCTCATGATTCCAACTTGAGCCAACACCTTCAAAAATCCAATGTCCTTATTATCATTATTTTTGTGTATTATTATTTTTTTATTATTATCTTCAGTCACAAAATTGCTGACATGAATTTCGTGAGCAACTACATTCCTCTACATTACTCTGGATACAAGCAAATAAATATTATGTAGGAAGGATAAAGGCACAACAGTTAAAACTTTTTATCATAAATTGTCCTCATTCACTTTCCTGCACTCAGTTTAAGTATTCCCACATGGAAATACTAGCATACTTTTGAATATTCTGAGAAAAAAAAATGCATTGTTTTCAATGTAGATAGTCCAGTGTTTTCTATGCTACAGGAGATTAGAAAGACACTAATATGGCTATTCAGCGTTTAGACCTGATTGACACACATATGGGTAATTTCCATGCTAAGTTCCAAAGCAAAATAGATCACTGAACATAGCTCTAGTACAAAAATGATTCTCCTCAACTTAAATATGAAAAATAGGATAGATTAAAAGACATGGCCATAAACACATGGATGTAAAGCTTAGCAAACTAAAACAATATTTGAAAGATAATTCAGTCAAAATCCTTTGACAATGATACATGACGAAAAAAGTAGTCACTTCAAGTGACTGTAGCAGAGGGTAGTTCAAATCAATGCCACTAACTTACATTTTAATGCTAATAATACTGCATTTTGGCCCATTTTCTTATTGAATAAATTCTTACTGTATTCTGAAATGTCTTGTTGTAGACCCGGGGTTGTATTTATAACATTTTAAGACCTGTCAGATGATTTCTGTGCTCTCATGTTCCTTGGCCTAAAACTTAACAATGGAAACACGGTCAACTTACGGTTTAACATGAGTGTAACTTATGGCATGCTAATGACATTTTATATAAAGATCGAAATGTAGACTGGAGAAATTTGTAGTACACTGGGTTATAAAAATGATATCTTACATGAAAAATTACCAATTAACTGATACAAACATCCCTCCATCTGTTTTCTATACCGCTTATTCCCAACGGGGTCACGGGGGGGCTGGAGCCTATCCAAGTTGACAACAGGAAAGAGGAGGGGTAGATCCTCTACAGGTCACCAGTCCATCGCAGGCCCACAAAAAGACACACAACCACACACTCTCACATTAAAATTCACTCCTAGGGGCAATTTGGAGTGCCCAATTAACCTAAAACGCAATAAACATAAAACCATTTGTGACAGGCCTGTTTTCAAATTCGGCTTTTTGCTTGTAGTTATTTGAGTTGTTTTCAAATGTAAGTTTTCATTTTCTAATACTGCAGTGTCTGATAAATAACTATTTAATCGCTAGTGTTACCACTTTGCAAATACCACTGCTCTCAACATAAACATAGAAAGGTAAGACCAAAAAAAAGCTTAAAAACTATATTACACAACAAACGGTTAAACACCACAAAAGCAAAACCAAGAATATTACCGTCTTGGCATATCAGCATTTGGCATGTGCTATGAGCAATAACTGATCAGCATCCTTTTTTAACCGTTAAAAATTCGGACATCACTATTATAATGAATTTTCTTAGACCTGTTCTACTTTTAACTAGCTAAGTGTTACAAATTGAAACTATTTTACAGTAAGTACATGGTTCACCTATTTTCTTTATTTGTCACTAAAGTATTTCTGTTCTGTAACTTCGGTAAATGATTTCCATTGAAGCTGCGTATAACTTGAAGTCCTTAGTCCCACCCTTTCAGCAACTCCTGAACGCCTCATCTCCATATTATTTACCTTAGGCCTGCTGTTATGCCAATGTCCTTCAGTTGTCAATTTGACTCACTTCAATAAAATGCACCCGAAAGAATAGCAGCGTCTGGGTCTGTTATATAATTAAACTAAATAATTCGTTTGTTTTTCGGGGAATTATACAGACCAGATAACCAGTCAGACAGACAGATACACAAACGAAGACTCTTTGTATCTTTAGGTGTAGCATCGTTTTGATTTCAAACAATTTCAATAGCCGCTGGTTCATTGTTGTCTGGTGCGACCGTTTATTTGGGATTCGTCGGTTTTTCTTACCTGAATGTTTGTCTCCGTCCGCGCGACATGGAGCCGAATAGGGTGCACTCCCTCTGCTCCATCTCTACAGCATCAGCATCACACGCACACGCGCGCGCACAGAGTGTACTGTACCTCTGTGTTTCAATGTTAAAGTTTCACTCCACAGTGCCCCCTGCCGGACAGGAGCCGGCGGTCAACGGCATAACGGCCACTTGACTGCTGAAAACCTGCAACACTCCCCAAAATTATTTACAACTGAGAAAGCCTTTAGAAAGTGTAGTCAAACTGCCTTTATTGAGCCTCTTGAAAATGGCATAATTCGGATGACTGATATATATATTTTCAAAATACTTCATAAATCTGGATATGAAATCTGTACTTGTTCAATTCTTAACTCTTTTTTGTATTTCAAAATACCTATTATCCCATTGTTCAAATGTATACTTTCTAATCATGCCCTTTTCAAATGCACTATTAAAGCATTGTACAAATATACAGAAACATTTTAATGACAGAGCTTATAAAGTTATAAAATATACTTCCACAAACAAGTTTCAGCTGAGCTTTTAAATCCTTCCACTAACATGATACCAACAGTGTAAATATAACTGTATGTTAACTTTTTGTGTCTCTACATGGAGTAGAGATGGACAGAAATAAAAAAAAACATAACACTGGAAATTACAGATCATGATTTGTAAATGTATACATGAGTTATATAGTCTATTTCTGTCCATATATATTTGTAGATTAATGTCTATGCAGAAAGGAATGTTGGGTTTGCAAAATTCCCAGTGTCATCTTCCTCAGAAAAGTCTTCAGGGTCGATATCGGCCTCAAACATTCGCTGCAACAATGCATCCACTGTCCTATATCCTGATACAGAATAACAAAAACATTCCTAATCAGTGATCAATGAATGTTTCAATCTGACAGAAAAAAAATAATGGTGAGTCATTCCCGTCTCTTTGGGATCTTTAAAATTTTAGCCATCTGATAATAATAATAATAATAATAATAATAATAATAATAATAATAATAAT